AATTTGAGCACATCACTTGATCACAACATGCCGCTAATTTTAGATGAAAATAATAAACTGCATCTCTCTTTTAATTTTATAGTTGCATTTCAGAAAAAAAATCTTCTCTGAAGATTGTTATTTTAGGAGAATCAAAATTTTCCCATGGACCTCAAACATCCTCATTGCTTTCTCCAAACTTATTGGCTGTAAGAAGCAACGCCATCATGAAATACTAGTTGGTTCCTGAAGTGTGAAAGAGGTAAGAAAGAGAACAGATGCTGGACAGGAGTTTTGAAGTTTAGTCGGTTAATTAGATTGCACATTTCGATAAGACTCAGACATAGCTTAAATTTGTCCACAACAGTTGGTCAGTTGTTGTCTTGGCATTTTTTCGAAGAAAAATTCACACAAGACCAGAGTTTCTCTCTCTCTCAGATATTTTTTGAGAAGATGACACAGCAAGTTAGCAACCACAAGCCCATCTAGCTAACGACCACGTCAGATGAGACGAAAGGGCGCAAGGGAAGAAGAGACGATGGAGCAAACACAAATTATAGTTATCTTGATAGTGATTCTTTATTTTTATTATCCAAAGTGTTAAGACTGTGATCTTCTAATTATTGACAACAAAAGAGTACAGATCAAATGTTACAAAAAGAGATGCTCATCTTTACCCGCTTGGCCTTTGCGTCTATAATGGGACCATGGTTTTGCAACACTTTTGACTAAAATCATCGTGAATCCTTCATCGTCACAAGAGCATTATCCATCTATCACGAGTAGCAAGAACCGACATAAATAAGTTTTGCCTGATTAGTGAAGCACAAAACAAGTCTTCCCCAAACAGTACAGCACCAGTGGCATCTTAAATGAATATTAAGCAAGAATGAGCCTTTTATTTCAAATCAGAAATCCTTTTTTTCAATAGGCATCCATTGAGCAGTCCAGGAAAATCTTTTCACACTCGAGCAAGCACAGTTCAAAAATTAGTAAAGCAATAGGAACAGAGCTGAGCAAACTTGATGAAAAGTTCAACAAATTCTTTCTTATGAACATCATAGTTGTAGAAGTCATTTAAGATGGCGATCACAATTCCCTGATGCAGAAGGGAAGAAAATTAGCACTAGACAGACAAATTAGGTTACAATGATCAAGTTGACGACATATGTAAAGGAAGAATAGAAGGATTAATAGAGATACCAGGATAAAAGCCCCATTAGAGATGCCAAAAATGAACAACAAGCTTCCGAGTCTCTTCATAATGATGGCACCCAAGACAAATTTTTCATCTGCAAACAACAAATCTCCAAATTATTGGGTGTTCATTTGAATTTAGTCTTCAATACGCCCCCTCAAGTTTATGTCATTCACTTTCTATCAAAGGCCTAAGACATACACAACTTTCGTAAATGAGTAGTGGAGACACACGAACTCATGTCTTTCACATGCTCTATGTGGTACTTCTATTCCAGTGTGGGCTGTAACATATACTTAGCGAAAATATGGAGAAGTACTCCTTCGCTCAACATGTGGTACTTCAAATCGAGTGTGGGTTGTAACATGCTTGGTGAAAACGTTGAACTTTGGCCTTGAAGACTTTGCAGCTTGCCCACCATCAACACTAAATTCATTGAACATACAAGCAGATGCTAATACATTAAAATTGATGTGTGGAGAATGACCAAAAAAAACAAAAAACAAAAAAAAACAAAAAATCCCTATTTACCAAAGAAATTTTCAAGTTAATTGTCCCCAAACTTATGTCTTTATCTTTGATTATTTATTGAAGTTTAAGATGTCGAGTTTTTACCATTAAATTTATCCAAACATTGGATGTTACTCATTGACATAATATCCATTTCAAACCTTTAGTAAAATTACTGGCGAGACTAACAAAATGCACATATCACGTCTCATCACGCCATTAACAATTTGCCAAGCAAGGAAGCAATTTTCACTGATTACCAAATTTTGAAAAAAAAATAAATTCAATTGCTCATTAAACTTTAAAAAATGTATTCAATTACTCACTGAAACTTTGAAGTAGTCGAAGTTAGGCCACTCAAAATTTAGGGTATGTTCGGTAGTGATTATGAGAGTTGATTTTTTGACCGTAAGAGAGAAAAGTGGGACAAACCTATGAATGAAGAGTCAAAAATAAAGGTTGGAATATTGAAATAACAATAAAAAAATTGATTTTTTGGAGTGAAANTTTTCTCAATTTTACCACATGGTTTTTAAACCAAAATTTTAATTCAATTCTTTTCATAAGGTTATAATATAATTAACAAATTTTTTATTATGTTGCATAAATTGTACAACGCATTATAAACTTACTAAAAAATGTACATCACAACACAAAACTTACTAAAGTTTTGGGATGTCACGGCCTTTCATTGCTCACTAAACTCTGAAAACATCTTCAATCGCTCACTAAACTTTGAAAAACATATTTAATTGCTCGCTAAACTTTAAGGTGGTCAAATTTTGACAATTAAACTTATAGAAATGATGTCAACCTATTATTCATTACAAAATGTGTACTGCAAGTACGCAATCCCATAAAAATAATAAGTGGACAAACGAGTCCAGTTTATCGATCCTACTAGGTATGATTATTTAATTACGCAATAGTTAAATTTAATTTTAATATATTATTGTAGAATTTGAAGCTACTTTTATCATTTAAAAAATTCAAATTTATTGTGCATTTCGTTATTAAAATACAATTTAGATTTTGAAATGAATCACACTATAAATTTAATTAAATGGATTTTGCAACGAAATAAACAACAATAAATTTAATTAAAATTTGGATTTTTGTAACAAAACACACAATAAAGTTAATTAAAATTTGGTTTTTGAGTTTCGTTGCAAAATCCAAATTTTATTTTAATATCAAAACACACAATAAATTCGAATTTTTCAAATGATGAAAATAACTTAAAATTCTACAAAAAATGTTAAAGTTAAATTTATATATTGTGTAATTATTTTCCATGGGATCAAAAATTCAAACTTGTTTTTGTTCATTTTTATTACTTTTATGTGACCCGTATGCTTTCTAATGAATAACTGTCTAACTTCATTTTTATAAGTTTACTTGCCAAATTTCAACACCTCAAAGTTCAGAGAACAATCAAAAATCTTTTTTTCGAAGTTTAGTGAGCAATCGTAAACGTTTTCAAAGTTTTGTAAACAGTGAAAGACGCTTTAAATTTTCAATGGTCAAAACTCGACCGCTTTAAAGTTTGATGAGAAATTGAACATTTTTTCAAAAGTTTATCGGGTAATTGAAAATGTTTTTCAAAGTTTAGTGATGAATGAAAGACCTTTCTTTACGCAACAATTTGTTAAAGGTGCGACACAGGTGTATTATGTTAGCCATGTCACTAATTCTGTTAAAGTTTGAAAGGGGTGTTATGTCATTGAGTAATGTTCAACGTTACTTTTAATGATCAAAACTCGATATCTTCAATCGCAGACAAATGCATAACTTTGGTGACCATTGGTACAATTAACTCGAATTATTCGTATTCATTTAACTGCAAAGGATGCCTCTTCAGAAATCCTAGAATTTATCTGGTCTCTCTTTAACCTTCTTAGATTGGCGTATACACTGGACAGTTTGACCCCTTTATTTTCAGCCGCTGTTTCTAGGGTTTTAGATTTAGGTCCTTCATGCCTTTTTCTGCAATTTGCAGATGCATTAAAATTTTGGATTTACTGTTTTTTGTCCTTCGTTAAAGAAAATATTTTGGTTTTTGCTCCTTCCGGAGGCTAGAATATTATCTGAGGTTTGTGTTTAAGTAGAGAAGATTGAGATGGATGGATTTGGAGGTGGGGGGCCTGGGGGCGGTGTTCAAGAGTCCTCAAATCCTCAGAATCTTAAACCGTTTGGTGCAAATCCAACAGGTTAGCTACTGGTTTTTACTTGATACTTCAGCCTTCGACTATAATTTGCATGTATAAATCTGCTTCAGTGTATAACCTGTTGACTTCAATTCTCATATTTTCTTTAACTTCACCTTATTCTGTGGATTTTGGATTGGGAAAATGGTTAGTAAATATTTCAGTTGATTCACGGATTTACCAATAAGATGTATAGTGTTTGACCTGTTATTTTAGATAAGTTGGTTAAACATATTTAAGCAGATTTAACATGTTAATGTTTATTTTGAGAAGAATGTTACTAGAATCAGTATAAATTTAGTGTTATTAGATGGCTCTAAACCCACACAAATACAAATTAATACATGTTGTTACCTTATATTAAAATCAACTTTGTGCCTGAGTAGACGTGAATAATTTTAATAACATGGTTTAAAGCGTTTTAAGAAATTGTTTAGAAAGTGACCATATCTTAATCTGTTTGGTGGTGCAGGAGATGCAATATTTAATGCGTCACAGTATGCATTCTTCGATAACAATGTGGTCGAGGAAGTTGAGCTAGGGGGATTAGAAGATGAAGAGGGTGATCTCCCTCCTGTTGGGCTTGAGGATGAAGAGTTTTTGTTGGACAGAGAAGAGGTTCATTTTTAAGTTTTAAAAATTTTGTTGTTTTTCTTTTTTGGATGATAATGCACTTCTGTTGTTTCCTTATTCCATAAGTTTAAATCACAAAAGTTACTGAGATAAAATAACTGCTTAAATAATTTCAATGGCATTTACTGAGGCTTTCGAAACCACAAAGCACAAATGAATAACTGAGGACACTATAGCCCTTGTTTGAGCTCCATTTTGGGGGAAGAATGCATTTGGAATAGTAGATTAATGGAGAATGTGTGGTTAAAAATTAATGGTAAGTTTTGTTTTTACGTGTAATATTATTTTATTGAAGAATGTATGATTGAAAATGAGTTTTGAAAAAATGAAATTTTAGAAGAATGGGGCTCAAATAAGGGCTAAATGCACTATTTTGAATAATCAAGCACCTCTATATGCTGTTTATATGTGCATGTTAAAGGGATGTGGTCCTTGACAATCACAGGTGTTATTGAGTATATCCTTTGATCGTAAATACTTGGATGCTTTGGTTTTTTTAGCTTGTGTAAATTCTACCTTTTGCAGGGTGATGCACTGGATTCTTTGTCTGAAATTGATGATCTAGCTAGCGCATTTTCAAAGGTTAGTCTTCTTATATACTGAAAATTGTCACCACAATTTCATAAAGTAAAATTAGTTTTGAATGTTAGATCTGATCCTCAGAGATGGTCTTTTCAATATTTTGTTGACGCTTTTTTCCTTACAATCGCTCCCTTCCCCAACTCTCTTTGGATGGGTAGGGGGAGTTGACTGGGTAAATATATTGGTCTGTACATTTAAATTTTAATCACTCAATTTCCTTTAGTTCTTATTCCTTTTTACATTCAATAGATTTCTTTTTCTTTTTATATATTTTATTTCCAGGATGATATTGACGTGGTAATTTATTAGTGGTACTTTGCATTTAATATCTACCATGGTGCTTATATTCTCAGAATATTTCGTTGTTATTTGCCCTTATTACCATTTTTAGGTGATTTGCTCATGAAATGGTAAATTAGTTTTTTAATCACCTATATAATAGAAGGAATGTTGTCTTATGCAATTTTTAATACCTTCTAATGTTTATATACAGTTGAATGGAGGTGTCTGTGGGCCTATTGGAGGTCAGAGATCCAGAGAAAGTGAGTGTAGTAATATCAGATTATGAATGCCACTTGAGATAAATATATATCCTTTAGGGCTTTTATGAATATTTCATTGAAATTCATCCTTCCAGTCATGGATTACTATTATCTGCTTGTGTTTTTGGTCACTCTAATATTGACAATTGTAATACTGTTGGACTCAAACAAAGCTGTAATTATGAATGCCTTCATACGTTGTATTGGTTTTTGTAAACCCTATTTGTCTGAGATAATTATTTTTCTTACTGTATTTTATCGTCTCTGTTATTCAGGTGCTGTTGCTATGTGCATTGAAACCCATGGTTTGGAAAATTGCTCTGCATGTTCACAGTTTAAATTATTATTATTATTATTATTATTTTAGAGACTTAGGCATCTACTCACGCATCAGTAGGCTACTAAAGCTTTTTGTCCGTTTGTCTTGTCTTTTCTGGGCATCAATTACAAACCTTATCATTTTGGGCTATATTCTACGGATACTTTTATTTTCTACCTAAAAATGGAAGGAAAAGGGATAGGAGAAGTCACTATTGCAAGTGGAGTATGATGAGAAAATTTGAGAAGAAAATAATCTAATAATTAGAAGATTCTCTTGAAAATTCTATCAGTAGTGATGATGTAGGAGACTTCTAAGTTGCTCTATTTCTAGTAGTAACCTCCAATTTTGTCATGTGATTTGAGAATTTATTATTTGCTACTATATTAATATATTTTATGTTTATTTTCAAGTGAGGCTTTTAAATTCTTTAATTTGTTTTTATTATGATTTTTAAAAGGGTTCGTGGTTTATTATGATCACATTTTTGTAATTTTATATTGGTTAGTCCTCAGGCTTACGCCTTGAAGTTTGTTGCGGCTTATGCCTCATGTCATAGAGTTAAAACGCCTTGATGTCCAATTATGCCTTTTTAAACATTGTACATGTTCAACTCTGGGGACTTCATATAAAATTAATGCTCTTACTTGGCGATTCACCCTGGACAACGGCCAAGTTAGAAATTTAAGTTGGTAAAAGAAATGGCATAACCAAGTATAGCATCTCGTTTTTTATAGCTTAGGGTTACTTGTCTATTCAGCCATATGTGCCACTATTGTCTAGACTTTATTAACTTTATTAAGCTCTTTTTTAAATTTATTTAGCTCCAATGACATTTTTTTCTTTTTTTTTTTTAAAATATATAATTCACATGTGCTCACTAACATGCAAGAACAATCACATGCACATATTCATGCATCACATATTTTATACATTCACAGGTTTACACATGAAGTTTGTCATCCGAATTTTTCAGAGAATGAAATAGTTTCCATATATTTTTATTTTTTAATAAACATAATTGAAATAAATATGTTTGGAATAAAAGTAGGTATAGATTACTCACCTTCAATGTTGCAAGACAATTAAAGTGTTACCTTTGTAAAGTTACTTGACTTTTGTTTTGTTGTATGCATTTTCCTTTCTCACCCTATCCCCTATTTATAGTAGTAATTTAGAATTAAATTAACAATTAATTTATTTTTCTATAATCATTATTTCGCCACATTTTACCTTATCATGCCATTTGGTTTTGTAGTACTTAAGGTGGCAAAATGATAAGTATAGGGTAGCCACCTTATCCTAACCCTACCATACCATGTGTCATCTTAATGTCTAGAGTGACAAGGTAATTAATAAAAGGTAGCCACTTCATTTTCTCAATTTTACCACATGGTTTTTAAACCAAAATTTTAATTCAATTCTTTTCATAAGGTTATAATATAATTAACAAATTTGTTATTATGTTGCATAAATTGTACAACGCATTATAAACTTACTAAAAAATGTACATCACAACACAAAACTTACTAAAGTTTTGGGATGTCACGGCCTTTCATTGCTCACTAAACTCTGAAAACATCTTCAATCGCTCACTAAACTTTGAAAAACATATTTAATTGCTCGCTAAACTTTAAGGTGGTCAAATTTTGACAATTAAACTTATAGAAATGATGTCAACCTATTATTCATTACAAAATGTGTACTGCAAGTACGCAATCCCATAAAAATAATAAGTGGACAAACGAGTCCAGTTTATCGATCCTACTAGGTATGATTATTTAATTACGCAATAGTTAAATTTAATTTTAATATATTATTGTAGAATTTGAAGCTACTTTTATCATTTAAAAAATTCAAATTTATTGTGCATTTCGTTATTAAAATACAATTTAGATTTTGCAATGAATCACACTATAAATTTAATTAAATGGATTTTGCAACGAAATAAACAACAATAAATTTAATTAAAATTTGGATTTTTGTAACAAAACACACAATAAAGTTAATTAAAATTTGGTTTTTGAGTTTCGTTGCAAAATCCAAATTTTATTTTAATATCAAAATACACAATAAATTCGAATTTTTCAAATGATGAAAATAACTTAAAATTCTACAAAAAATGTTAAAGTTAAATTTATATATTGTGTAATTATTTTCCATGGGATCAAAAATTCAAACTTGTTTTTGTTCATTTTTATTACTTTTATGTGACCCGTATGCTTTCTAATGAATAACTGTCTAACTTCATTTTTATAAGTTTACTTGCCAAATTTCAACACCTCAAAGTTCAGAGAACAATCAAAAATCTTTTTTTCGAAGTTTAGTGAGCAATCGTAAACGTTTTCAAAGTTTTGTAAACAGTGAAAAACGCTTTAAATTTTCAATGGTCAAAACTCGACCGCTTTAAAGTTTGATGAGAAATTGAACATTTTTTCAAAAGTTTATCGGGTAATTGAAAATGTTTTTCAAAGTTTAGTGATGAATGAAAGACCTTTCTTTACGCAACAATTTGTTAAAGGTGCGACACAGGTGTATTATGTTAGCCATGTCACTAATTCTGTTAAAGTTTGAAAGGGGTGTTATGTCATTGAGTAATGTTCAACGTTACTTTTAATGATCAAAACTCGATATCTTCAATCGCAGACAAATGCATAACTTTGGTGACCATTGGTACAATTAACTCGAATTATTCGTATTCATTTAACTGCAAAGGATGCCTCTTCAGAAATCCTAGAATTTATCTGGTCTCTCTTTAACCTTCTTAGATTGGCGTATACACTGGACAGTTTGACCCCTTTATTTTCAGCCGCTGTTTCTAGGGTTTTAGATTTAGGTCCTTCATGCCTTTTTCTGCAATTTGCAGATGCATTAAAATTTTGGATTTACTGTTTTTTGTCCTTCGTTAAAGAAAATATTTTGGTTTTTGCTCCTTCCGGAGGCTAGAATATTATCTGAGGTTTGTGTTTAAGTAGAGAAGATTGAGATGGATGGATTTGGAGGTGGGGGGCCTGGGGGCGGTGTTCAAGAGTCCTCAAATCCTCAGAATCTTAAACCGTTTGGTGCAAATCCAACAGGTTAGCTACTGGTTTTTACTTGATACTTCAGCCTTCGACTATAATTTGCATGTATAAATCTGCTTCAGTGTATAACCTGTTGACTTCAATTCTCATATTTTCTTTAACTTCACCTTATTCTGTGGATTTTGGATTGGGAAAATGGTTAGTAAATATTTCAGTTGATTCACGGATTTACCAATAAGATGTATAGTGTTTGACCTGTTATTTTAGATAAGTTGGTTAAACATATTTAAGCAGATTTAACATGTTAATGTTTATTTTGAGAAGAATGTTACTAGAATCAGTATAAATTTAGTGTTATTAGATGGCTCTAAACCCACACAAATACAAATTAATACATGTTGTTACCTTATATTAAAATCAACTTTGTGCCTGAGTAGACGTGAATAATTTTAATAACATGGTTTAAAGCGTTTTAAGAAATTGTTTAGAAAGTGACCATATCTTAATCTGTTTGGTGGTGCAGGAGATGCAATATTTAATGCGTCACAGTATGCATTCTTCGATAACAATGTGGTCGAGGAAGTTGAGCTAGGGGGATTAGAAGATGAAGAGGGTGATCTCCCTCCTGTTGGGCTTGAGGATGAAGAGTTTTTGTTGGACAGAGAAGAGGTTCATTTTTAAGTTTTAAAAATTTTGTTGTTTTTCTTTTTTGGATGATAATGCACTTCTGTTGTTTCCTTATTCCATAAGTTTAAATCACAAAAGTTACTGAGATAAAATAACTGCTTAAATAATTTCAATGGCATTTACTGAGGCTTTCGAAACCACAAAGCACAAATGAATAACTGAGGACACTATAGCCCTTGTTTGAGCTCCATTTTGGGGGAAGAATGCATTTGGAATAGTAGATTAATGGAGAATGTGTGGTTAAAAATTAATGGTAAGTTTTGTTTTTACGTGTAATATTATTTTATTGAAGAATGTATGATTGAAAATGAGTTTTGAAAAAATGAAATTTTAGAAGAATGGGGCTCAAATAAGGGCTAAATGCACTATTTTGAATAATCAAGCACCTCTATATGCTGTTTATATGTGCATGTTAAAGGGATGTGGTCCTTGACAATCACAGGTGTTATTGAGTATATCCTTTGATCGTAAATACTTGGATGCTTTGGTTTTTTTAGCTTGTGTAAATTCTACCTTTTGCAGGGTGATGCACTGGATTCTTTGTCTGAAATTGATGATCTAGCTAGCGCATTTTCAAAGGTTAGTCTTCTTATATACTGAAAATTGTCACCACAATTTCATAAAGTAAAATTAGTTTTGAATGTTAGATCTGATCCTCAGAGATGGTCTTTTCAATATTTTGTTGACGCTTTTTTCCTTACAATCGCTCCCTTCCCCAACTCTCTTTGGATGCACTGGATTCTTTGTCTGAAATTGATGATCTAGCTAGCGCATTTTCAAAGGTTAGTCTTCTTATATACTGAAAATTGTCACCATAATTTCATAAAGTAAAATTAGTTTTGAATGTTAGATCTGATCCTCAGAGATGGTCTTTTCAATATTTTGTTGACGCTTTTTTCCTTACAATCGCTCCCTTCCCCAACTCTCTTTGGACGGGTAGGGGGAGTTGACTGGGTAAATATATTGGTCTGTACATTTAAATTTTAATCACTCAATTTCCTTTAGTTCTTATTCCTTTTTACATTCAATAGATTTCTTTTTCTTTTTATATATTTTATTTCCAGGATGATATTGACGTGGTAATTTATTAGTGGTACTTTGCATTTAATATCTACCATGGTGCTTATATTCTCAGAATATTTCGTTGTTATTTGCCCTTATTACCATTTTTAGGTGATTTGCTCATGAAATGGTAAATTAGTTTTTTAATCACCTATATAATAGAAGGAATGTTGTCTTATGCAATTTTTAATACCTTCTAATGTTTATATACAGTTGAATGGAGGTGTCTGTGGGCCTATTGGAGGTCAGAGATCCAGAGAAAGTGAGTGTAGTAATATCAGATTATGAATGCCACTTGAGATAAATATATATCCTTTAGGGCTTTTATGAATATTTCATTGAAATTCATCCTTCCAGTCATGGATTACTATTATCTGCTTGTGTTTTTGGTCACTCTAATATTGACAATTGTAATACTGTTGGACTCAAACAAAGCTGTAATTATGAATGCCTTCATACGTTGTATTGGTTTTTGTAAACCCTATTTGTCTGAGATAATTATTTTTCTTACTGTATTTTATCGTCTCTGTTATTCAGGTGCTGTTGCTATGTGCATTGAAACCCATGGTTTGGAAAATTGCTCTGCATGTTCACAGTTTAAATTATTATTATTATTATTATTATTTTAGAGACTTAGGCATCTACTCACGCATCAGTAGGCTACTAAAGCTTTTTGTCCGTTTGTCTTGTCTTTTCTGGGCATCAATTACAAACCTTATCATTTTGGGCTATATTCTACGGATACTTTTATTTTCTACCTAAAAATGGAAGGAAAAGGGATAGGAGAAGTCACTATTGCAAGTGGAGTATGATGAGAAAATTTGAGAAGAAAATAATCTAATAATTAGAAGATTCTCTTGAAAATTCTATCAGTAGTGATGATGTAGGAGACTTCTAAGTTGCTCTATTTCTAGTAGTAACCTCCAATTTTGTCATGTGATTTGAGAATTTATTATTTGCTACTATATTAATATATTTTATGTTTATTTTCAAGTGAGGCTTTTAAATTCTTTAATTTGTTTTTATTATGATTTTTAAAAGGGTTCGTGGTTTATTATGATCACATTTTTGTAATTTTATATTGGTTAGTCCTCAGGCTTACGCCTTGAAGTTTGTTGCGGCTTATGCCTCATGTCATAGAGTTAAAACGCCTTGATGTCCAATTATGCCTTTTTAAACATTGTACATGTTCAACTCTGGGGACTTCATATAAAATTAATGCTCTTACTTGGCGATTCACCCTGGACAACGGCCAAGTTAGAAATTTAAGTTGGTAAAAGAAATGGCATAACCAAGTATAGCATCTCGTTTTTTATAGCTTAGGGTTACTTGTCTATTCAGCCATATGTGCCACTATTGTCTAGACTTTATTAACTTTATTAAGCTCTTTTTTAAATTTATTTAGCTCCAATGACATTTTTTTCTTTTTTTTTTTTAAAATATATAATTCACATGTGCTCACTAACATGCAAGAACAATCACATGCACATATTCATGCATCACATATTTTATACATTCACAGATTTACACATGAAGTTTGTCATCCGAATTTTTCAGAGAATGAAATAGTTTCCATATATTTTTATTTTTTATTTTTTGTAAATATTCTATGTAAAAGAATTATTTTTTAGTTGTATGGTTTCAAAATAATTTTCTTGTGGGATAGATTGATTTCTTGTCATCCTTGTGAGCCCGCACTACTGGTTTAACCTTATGAGATGTGTAGCAATATTAATTGTTGTGTATAATCCATCTTATATATGCTGAGGATTCCTGGTCCTCTATTATTTTTATTTCTTCTGCCTATGTATGAAATTCTTCTCTTGTAAACTATAATTAATTGGCTGGAATTGTATTGGTAATGGAGCTGAGTAATAATTTGATTTGAACTCAAATATTGTTTAGGAAGCTCAAATTATAATCGGCTTGAGCTTGATCTTGCGAAACTTTAATTAGCGCAACTTATTTATAGCCCTGGAAAACTACAGCTATACTGTACGGATATATGCTGCAGAATAGATGTGCAAATTATCCCATCCCAAAATAAGTGTTTTACCTTGTATTTGGTATTTTGCGAAGAATGTCGCCTTTGGAGGTCATATTGTTTTCCTAACTTCTACAGTCCTAGTCTCCTAGGGGAATGGTTTCTTAGTTTTAAGCTGTGGCACGGTATAATTCCGTTAGTTTTAAAGTTCCATGAGCAGTGCTTTTTACTCGGTAAAAGTTTTTGCATGTTTTGAGTAAAATTAAGTTTTGGCCAGATAGTGGTGGATACCATATCTTGTGAATCTTTAATATTAAATCTAGAAAACACATGGTCTTGTAAAGTAAATTGGGGTCATCTAAACTTCATTAACTTCATCAATATTCCGGAGACTTATGTAGGAGCAGGATGTGGAGAAGGAGAACTATATATGATATTTGAGCTACTTGCTAATGAATTAAGGATTGCAATTTGCATGTAGTAAATTCTGATTATAATTTTGTACACGTGTGGCCCACAGTCTTTGTGATTTAATCCTCTTAAATGAATATTAGATAGGCATCATTCATTGGTCTCTAACTATGCATGTTGAGTAAGTACGGTGCGTAAATATGACTTTCGACATATTTTATTATTGATGCCTCCTTTATTAGTCTCTAAGGTAGTATTTATTTTTTATTGTTGACTTCGAACAGATGTAAATTTTCCTTAATAATAATTCTGAAATATTAACTCTTTGACCAGTAAATGCCAACAGTGAATCTGTGACTGTGTATTATTTGTTGATATAGTTTCTGTTTTTGCTCATGTTACCATGTTTTCCAGGTTCATCTGCTGCTGAATGGACACAAGAGGCAGACTTTCCTAAGTGGTTTGACCAGCGAGCCTTCGATGCTGAAAGCGCTCGGGACAGTAAAGGATGGTCATCACAGCTATATTCCTCTGCACAGTTAATGGAATCCAAGTCTTTATACCGAGCATCTTCATACCCTGAACCGCCACAGCAACACCCTCATCAAAACCAGGAGCAAAACCTACATCAGAACTACTCCAGCGAACCAACTCTTATTCCAAAATCACCGTTCACTTCATATCCTCCCCCTGGAGGAAGATACCAGCAAGCTTCACCGAACAGCCTGTCTATCCACCTGAATATTCCATATGCCCCTGGTGGATATCAAATGCCAATTTTGTCGCCCAATCTTTCTTCTTTGGATAATGCGCAGGTTCAATTAAATGCCTTACCTAATGGGTCTCAATTTGGTGCAAATTTACCTCAATCAACCTATGGGCTTCCAGTTAATAATCAGCTTCACAACCAACGGCTGAACCAAAATAGTATGCATCCTGGAGATCATTCTAGCTTGCCGAGCAAAATGTTGCAACAGTTACCCCATCACAATGGGTTAATGCCTCCACAACAGCCTTTGCAGCAAAACAGAATGAAGCACCCATTTCAGCCATCCTATGGCCATTTATCAGGGTTGCAGTCTCAACATTTTAATACCCTCCCTCCATCACCACCCATGATGAACAACTTCAACATGCTTGGGTTGGCTGAATTTAGAGATCAGAGAACTATTTCAATGCCGAGAAATAGGCAAGGCTTTCGTTATCCTCAGCATGATTCTAATTTGGGCAGCCAGAGGAGTGATAATGGGTGGCCAAAGTTCAAATCCAAGTACATGACAACTGATGAAATTGAAAACATTCTCAGAATGCAGCTTGTTGCTACTCACAGTAATGATCCTTATGTTGATGACTACTACCATCAAGCTTGTCTGGCAAAGAAATCTGCTGGTGCAAAGTTGAAACATCATTTCTGCCCTGCAATTTTGAAGGATAGTTCTTCCCGAGCTCGTGCTAATGATGAGCCACATGCTTTTCTCCAGGTTGATGCTCTTGGGAGGGTTTCTTTCTCTTCAATTCGCAGGCCTCGCCCACTTCTTGAAGTTGACTCCCCAAATTCATCTGGCAGTGCCAGTGCTGAACAGCAAGTGGTTGAGAAGCCTTTGGATCAGGAGCCAATGCTTGCAGCTAGGGTGACTATAGAGGATGGCATTTGCCTCCTCCTCGATGTTGACGATATTGACCGATTCCTACAGTTTAATCAGATTCAAGATGGTGGGGCCCAGTTGAGACAGCGGAGACAAGTTATGCTTGAAGGTCTAGCATCGTCGCTTCAGCTTGTAGACCCTCTTGGCAAAAATGGTCACACAGTGGATTTGGCTCCTAAAGATGATCTGGTGTTCTTAAGGTTAGTTTCCCTTCCTAAGGGCCGGAAACTCCTATTGCGGTACCTTCAACTTCTTTCTTCTGGTGGTGAACTTACTCGAGTAGTCTGCATGACCATCTTCCGTCATTTGAGGTTCTTGTTTGGTGTACTTCCTTCTGATCCTGGTGCCTCCGAAACAACAGTAGAACTTGCTAGGACCGTGTCATCTTGTCTTCAAAATATGGAGCTTCAAGCTCTGGCTGCATGCCTTGCATCAGTGGTTTGTTCAGCAGAGCATCCTCCTCTACGTCCTGTTGGAAGCTTGGCTGGAGATGGAGCTTCTGTTGTTCTTAAATCTGTCCTTGAGAGAGCAACTCTGCTGCTGACAGATCCTAATGCTTCTGGCAGCTGCAGTATGACTAACAGGGCATTTTGGCAGGCCTCTTTTGATGCATTCTTCGGCCTTCTCACAAAGTACTGCTTTAATAAATATGACTTCGTTATGCAATCTTCCCTCAAGCAGGCCTCGCCCACTGTTATTGGGTCTGATGCAGCCAGAGCGATCGGTAAAGAAATGCCTGTTGAACTCTTACGTGCAAGTCTTCCCCACACAAGTGAGCAGCAAAAGAAACTGCTATTGGAATTTGCACAGCGGTCCATGCCCGTGCTGGGTCTTAGTAGTCAGGGTGGAGAAAGTGGTGGCTCGTGATTGTGTATTGGTGTCGTTGTGAAGGATCCACAATAGATTTGCTGCCAAATTATAGTGGCACCATGGATTGGTGACCGTTTCTGAGTGTCAGTACTCTTAGCATGCTGATACTGGTGCTTACTGGAAGAAGTTTGTCAGCGAGTAATGGAGCCTGATTGCCTGAAAGATACTGGTGTTTACCATAAAGTAAAAGTAATCCTCTAAGACACATTGACAGTCTTATGTTTTTTACAGTTTAATCGTGTGTTTCGCTCTCATTGATGGGAGCTTATTTTGACGCTCTGTTGTGCAATACTAGTAGGAGACTGGATAAAGGTAGGAATCGTGCAGTTAAAGAAAGATGCTGCTAATTTTTCCACGCTTTTGTATTTGGAGGGTGGCGGGTAAGAGTTCGTTGAAATGCACCGGATGGTCGTCAGTTTTATCCTTTCGTCTGTTCTATATTCTTAAACGAGGGAGGTAGTTGAACAGTGGAAGCCGTAGAAGTTTTGTTTCTGTTAACAGTTGGTCCATTGTGATTCTTGTTTTAAGTTTGTCTCTCTACAAAATTGTATTTGCCTCAGACAAGTTCTTCTTGGGCCGAGGTTGCTGGCTTTGTATTCCAGCTATGCAAACAGGGTAGGATTCTTTCACCTTGTTTCATTGTGAAGTACGAGAAACTGTCAGTTGTTACGACTTGCTTGTTCAACTTATAAATGAAAAAACAATTATAAGTATTTACTTATCAAACTTTGCCTTTTGATGGGGTAAATTAAGAATTACTACAATCTCAAATGGTATAATAATTTTCTAATCAAACTTTTCTTTTATACAAGTGGTATGGTCTACGGGCATCATAATTCCAGACGAACAATAAATTCAAAGGTTCCAATTCTTGAGCGCAAGCGGCGTGTCCGTATTTAGAATTCACCAACCTTTAAAATCTGATTTGCGTTTCCATCTTTCACGGTCAGCAATCTGTGTGCATCGAGCTTCAGTGTTGTGTTCTATATTTGGTCGTGTAGATTCTGCCAATTTCCCAGCCCCGAAAGAATGTCAGAAAAAGAACTGGTCGTAATCTCCAAGCTTCGAGAAAAGAGAGTTGAATCAACTAGACGAACGACTTCCCTCCTGAGAAAGTCGAACTGAGGCAGAACGAACCATTTCAACGAGACTGTCATCCAGTGCATCAAGCTCACCCGAGTTGCGAAGACTATGGTATAAAGGGGCCATATAATTTGCTGCAACTTCAGCCAACTTCCATTGAGTAAAAATAGCTGCACTCTGCATTATTTTCACGGACAAGTATCCTTGAATCAACTAGACGAACGACTTCCCTCCTGAGAAAGTCGAACTGAGGCAGAACGAACCATTTCAACGAGACTGTCATCCAGTACATCAAGCTCACCCGAGTTGCGAAGACTATGGTATAAAGGGGCCATATAATTTGCTGCAACTTCAGCCAACTTCCATTGAGTAAAAATAGCTGCACTCTGCATTATTTTCACGGACAAGTATCTAGAAGAATCCAAGCAAGATACAGAAACCCTATAACATTCTTCATGAAGGTCCTCAATGAGCCAAAATTCAGCAAGCCAACAGAGCTCAATGTATAATTGCACTTCGTGTAATTTTTCGTCTGCATCCATATTATCCCATAGACAGCCAAAACTGGGCTCCGGCAACTGGTCCGAATAGAACCAGTTAACAAGTTTAACGAGTGACTCCCAACTTACGGGGACCTTGATTGTTTGTAAATGGCTGCAACAAGAAATTCAATATTTCAGTTGGAATGAAAAGAAAGGCTAAGTTTCTACAACCTAGAAACTAGATTTTGTTTCTAATAAATAGCAAAACCGCAGTCGAGTCCACTGTAAGCCAAAAAGATGGGAGAACATATGAACACAGACAAGTACAAAATAATGTACAATCACCATCGCTAGTAATTGGATATAGGACGACATACTGTATTGTTACTGAAAATGAATGCCAATATGTGCTCATAGCAGTATTGCGGCAAGAGTTAAGGCTCTAGAGCTCACAAACTGATATGAATATAAATTGTAGAAAATATAAAAACCGATATGGATATGAAATGTGGAATGAATTGTAAAAGAACTAACCAACTTTTCTAAAGAGGTGCGGATTATATATCTAAGATAGTACCAAAACATATCTGTAACGTATCTCAACCCATATGCATTTACCTCTCTTGCATTCCTGACCGAAACAATGCCTGGAGATAATCACAACTTGATTCCAATATAACTTTGTGAACATGTAGGTGAGGAACTGATGCTGAGCAACTGTTGCACATCCAACTTACTAGTTCTCTTGTATTAGATTCCAAAAGAATGTCACTGAAACCAGAAAAGAGGGGAAAAAATGAAATCTAGACCAAAAAGACCAACATAAAAGCGTGAACAAATGCAGATATCTAAGTAAATCAAGTCAATAATTGATAGCTACTATTTCCAACACTGTGGTGTTGGAAGCCTTATAACCCTCAGCCCAGTAGATAGTGCGTGGTCAGTGAACCATAATAATAAACAACAAAGCAATTTGATTAACTATAAATTTTTTAAGTAAAACTTTTTTCTTTGGCCAGATCAAATGATGCTGCTTGGCAAGATTGTCAGCTTTGGACAGCTATGGAATTGGATAACAAGTTTAGTACGATCTTCAAAGCATATCTCATTATGATACACTCCCCAAATACCCAAGTGAGATCAAAGAGGAGTAAAAATTATCCCCAAGGTACAAATGCCTAAACTGTCGGGAAATAAGTTCATACGAAAAATGATGTCCGCCTGGCCTGAGTGCTGGAGTAAGATCAAAGCTAGGCATAGGAGTGCCCCATTTTGGATGTCTTTTAGAAAGCATTTGCAACAGGTGATGTAATCCACAATGCTTAGCAAAAATCTTCAACTTTTTCACAAGGTCTTCACTGGCTTGTACATATCCAAAGTAAACATATTCTAACAACTTCAACAATGACTGGTAATCCACATGAGAAGAAAGATGAATTGCTGTTATCACCCTGTTCTCTGCATCCTGCTTTACAGAAGATCCACTTGACGCTTTCTCTTTAACAAGCAATTCTCCAGGAGGAAGAAGTGATGGACTTCTAACCATAAGAACAACTCCATGAACATATATAGATTCCCCATTTACAAGATTGAGCTCCAAATCAGTATATTCATTATCAGTAAGTGCTTTCCCAATTCTGTCTCCCATTTCACATGGGAAACCATAGTGTCCAAAAACGCAAAGAATATAAACAGCATACCATCTTGGTCCAGGGGTTCTACCGTGTCTGCAGATCTTCTGGAGTTCACTAACTAATTGAACTTCATTAAAGTTAGTCTGATTGTCAAGCAGATGAACTTTTATGGGATCCAAATGATGTAGCAACTCGGCTAGGCTCCACAGACTAAAAAGCAAAAGCATGTCCTCCCCTTCCCAGTCTTCTGTAGCTGAGCAGCAACAACTCCTCTCTGTGAAAGAATTATGCAAATGCGATGCCACATTTGATCTTTTTATACGAACAGGATTGCTAAACCACCATCTTATGAAGTTCAACAGAGTTTTGATCCCTTGATGTTTAATTATGAGTTTTCGATATTTTGGAAGACTGGAATAACATGCCAAGCTCATCAAGCATATGACAATTTGAAGGTTACCTGGAATTCCAAAATTGTTTCCTGAAGATCTGGCAATTAGAGTCTCTAGCAAATATTCAGTGTAATCCTTGCCATTTGACTTTAGTATTTCCAACAGTAGGGACCTAGCTACAGATGCAATATACTTGCAGGGAGAGTAAACCATCATAAGGACTGCTCTAGATGCTGATTCACTCACAGCTGTATTTGTTGGACTACTTTGAGAAATTTGGCGTGTCACATGAATTGAGTCCACAAAGGCTAAGCTGACACGAAAACCAAGCACAATAAGATGAATTTTAACGTTATGGATACGTGAAGAATGATAGTAGTAGTAATAGTAACTGCTGGCACATAAGAAAAAAAATTGAAGCAAAATAAAAAGTAGAATATTACCATGCACACACGATAAGGATCTTGAGATGAAGTTTACGTCCATGCGCCTCAGTGTTGAAATCTTCGGCACAGTTAGTTGCAATCCATCCAAGAATATCCCAGACATATGGTCTAAGAGAGAGATGGAAATTTGTGTTGAGACCATCTCGAACTACAACTATCAGTTCCTTCATGGATAACTCTTGCTTGAATAGGTCGATCTTCTCATAACTGCCTAGAAGAAGATCGAGAAGGACTGTGTCAACTCCAGCCTTCCAAAAATATATGTGATGGTCCCCTGCCCAACGAGTGATTAAAGCCAAACGGCATGCCTCCTCCACAATAGACCTATGGTTTTTAGCAAGCTTTTCAGAATGCGAATTCCGATCGCTCATTCCACTAATTATAGCTTTCACAAGGGGCTCCCCGCATCTTTTTATCATTTTTAAACACTCCCTTTTGTTTATCTGAGAAAATAGTGATCAAGACTCATTCAGACTGGTAGTATAACAAAAAGCTCACAGGATAAGGGTGTAAGAATTGCTACCGCTAAACATTGAGCAAGTCTAAATCCCTCCATTCGGATTGAATGATTATTTGCACGTTCCATGCTGTCAACCATCATTCTTAGAAGAGCTTCTCCATTTTCTAGAAGCTTACTTGCCCAGGCTCCGCATAGTGCTGGCAAGCAAACAAGACAAACAATTGCAAGCCCACAAGATAAGTTAGCTATATGAAATTAGCAGTAAATGGCACATAATCTATGACAGATAGTATAAATACCTAAAGTAGAGTACAACTGCAAGACAGCAACTTTTGTGGAATTTTCACGCTCAAGTTGGAGAGTATCTAAAAAATTCAATAGTTCAGTATCAGTCCAAACACAGAACCTAGATTGCGGCCACCACCATAAAATTTTACTCAAAAGAGAAACCATCTCTTCTAAGTACTCAGTAGGCTTATTGCCAACTGAAAATTCTTTTATATTGTCAACAAGAGAACCAACTACTTTTGTTTCCTTCAAAATCTGCCACACTTCTCTCTCTGTCTTAATACTAATATTTGATAGGATAGCATTCAAGGCACTTGCACATGAAATAGAAACTTGAAATTGCCAGGTAGATAATAAAGATGCTAAAGGACGCATAAGATCCAGAACATGAGATTGCAGCAATGAGCTAGGCAGAATATTGACCATCTTTACAGCCACCCTTGAGGCCACTCCCATTGTGGATTCACTTTTGAATTCTAGTATACTTTCTAATGCACCAACCATATCTTCCACTGAATCCTGAAATAGGAATAGGAAGGAGAAACGAAAACCTAGTATTAGTAACTGGTACCCAGCACCAAACCAATTTAGTCCAATGCCTTGATTTAACATCGTGTCATGTTTCCAACAAATTATCATTTTACACTGTCTACAAGCTTGATATTTTTGTAATCTTGAACTATGTGGAAAACCACTAACACAAGTCAGGAGTGAATTAATTCTGATGCTATGCATAGCAAGTTTATGTGAACTGGTGAAAATATGTATGCACATAAAATGGTAAAATGGGTGAGACTTTTCTGTCAAAGGTGATCAATTCTTAACTGAAATTGCAAATCAGTGATATGAAGTTTCAAGCAGAACAAACATATTCATCCATTTTATAGTCAATTTTATGTCATGTGTAAAAGAATTCAACCCTTAACTCATGTCACCCTTAGACCAATTTTTCCAAATGCAAACAGTGAAGACTGTAACGCAACAGAGTCGACCCATAGCCTCGTATTATCTCATCTTACATTTTTCTTACCTGCAAGAATGTTGGTCCCTTTTGAATATGCATATTATATGTCACTACACTTAAAAGCTCAGGGATGTTTCTCAATATTCTCCTGCAGGTTATAAGTTAACAGAAAAAAGGTGAATTCCAACAGCATGTTAGAACTAAGTTTATTCGTTTTGGTCATAATTTGCATGCAGTCATGCAGTTTTCAGAACACTGCACCTAGAAAAGCTGTGGTGCTGCTATATACAAAGTATGCAGATATACAATACTATACGTAGACCATAAGTGGTGTGCTCATTATAATGTTCATATTAAGCTGTTAAGCATGTATCTTGCAAATGAACAACTTATAGTCTATGAAATGAAGAAGAAAAATAATATAAAACATCTGAAAACTAAAATGGAATATAAATGTGGTACAATACACTTATGAGTTGTTTTTGCAACAGTCTTAGACACGAAACAAGATATTTACCTTTACAAGGGGGTGATGTGATGTTTCAGTGGAAATACAATCGAGAAATGCATCGATTGAGCGGATCACTAGTCTTTGTATTTCAATGTCGCTGCAATACCACTTTCTTCTGTTATTGATGCTTCTGCAAGTACAAGAAGCAAATGAAGGAAATGACTGTTATAGTGTTGCCATATGTTTCCTCGAAATGAATGTGAGGAACACATAAACTACAATAGACCAAATGTATAAAAGTAAATCATCGAAAATTCTGCTGTAACCTCACTAAGATGGGAAAACATAAATAATCTTAGATTTTTGGATGCTAAAGACAATAGGATGCAACAAACCAAAATGAGAATTGAGAAGAAGGAGAGAGAATCAAGAGAAAATAGAGGGGGAAATATGAGTTTATTCAATAATCAAGTCTAACCATTACAATGCAAAGACCCTCTTTATGGAAAGTTTAAACAAACCTAATTTAAGTAGGAAAACAACTAAAGAAATAAAACCTAATGAAGTCAAACTAGAAAATTATAACAAACTAATCTAAATTAACATAACAATGGTTCTTATCCCAGCTCTCCCATTACAGCATTAAGAGGATGATCATACCATGGGTAGAGGAAAGAATTCAAACCTAACAACTTGTTCACAAATGAACATGAGTAAGTTCACTCTAGGCAGGCTGCAGATTTCATAGACCAAGGCCTAGCTATGTTCACTTCAGGGAGCTACTTTTAGGAGTTAAGAAACTATATTGAGAGCTACATAACATTCTGAAGATGAAAACTAGTTTAGCTTGGTTATAAAGAATTATTAAGAGACAGCTCAGCTCAGGTGGAGGAACCGTCAGCTATGATGGAAAGCAAATAAAGGTTGAAATATGGTAATATTGTTCAACATAAAAATGAGCTGGCTTAAGAGGATGCTCAAACATTTCACTTATAATCGACATAAATTGCGAAGAAAACTCCAAGCTAGCTGAAATGCAAAATAAAAATATCCAACAGAACTCTCGAAATTCCCGCACCTCATGTTACAAGGTAAGTGAAGAGACCAAGCAAGCATTATATTCCATAAAAAAATATTTAAGGAATATATTTTTGAAACTTTTATAATTCTCCATTATGAGATTTCCATATTTTAATGCAACTTAATACGTTAATTTTTACAAAAAGTTGCATTAGAAGTAATGATGATAAACAATGACTTCCTTATGTCGCGTGAATGGTAAATAACATTTCAACTGATGCGGTCAAAATTTCACACAGTAAAACAGAAAGGAGAATGTAGATTCAAGAGCAGTCCACGTGACCCCTTGTTGAGTGGGGGAACAAGTATAGCTAGCTCGTATATCTTCCACCAATAAAGACGCGCTCTTTTAGCTTCATGTTGACCTTAGTTACAATATATAGTATTTTCTCTAGCAATTCTACATGCATCTGTAGATAGAAATATATAAATCTAATTATGGCCAAATGAAGATCAGTTAGCCAAACTCAATCTCTTGATTATAGAGAAAGCATATATGTCAACCCAAATCCCTCCACCCACGCCACCTGAAAAGGGAAAGGGAGTAAGAAAAGAAATTAAAGTAAAACTCTTTCTTACAGTGAACCGCACAAATAGCAACCTAAGAATAATTAGAAAGTTCAAAGTCAAAATTCAATGAAACTCAAATTAGTCTAAATTATCCTCAAGATCAAATATCAATTAAAGCCACCCATAACAAAAGATCCAAATCAACAATTCCCCAGCTTAAAAAGGAAAATTATGTTCGTAGACGGTAAAACATGCATACAATTGAATAACGAACACGGGTACACAATTACGTATATAAATTATTTGAGTTGTTAAATGCAATTAACGGAAAAATGACGAAAATATAAAACCTGAATCCAAGGTTGAGAGCATGGTAAAGGCGTTGATGGAGGGTAAGCATGTGGCCAGTGACGCCACGATTGTTCTCTGCTGCACCGTGTTTCGAAGAAGATGATCTCATTGATTTTTCTTCTATTCTATCTGTAAAACTGGAACTGAGAGTCGGTATTCTTGTGTTCTCACTGCAGTTGAGCTCCTATATTGATATAAACAAAAAAAATATTTTTGAGGTTCGTCGACAGAAATTTTGCAAAATCGCCGCCTTACAACGAGGAAAGAAAAAAGGCGCTTTACAATTAGGCGTTGTTCATTTTTTTTTGTTTTTTTAATGAAAAATGTTACTTTTTCAATCAAATTTTTACTTTTGTGTTTTCCATGAAAAATATTTTATTACTTTTCATCAAATGATCATATTTATCCCGAAAACAATGAAAATATTTTTTTTAAGGTCCTCTTTCTCTTTCATCTATATCCTCTCTCTTATTTACTCATTAATAAAAAATGAACAAATATAACATTTTCTAGGATAAAAATTAAATCAATTAAATATATTTAATTGATAATTTTCATGAAAATAAATTATAAGCAATTAAATTACTTAAAATTTATTTTCTTTTCATATAAATTTCATGATTATAGTCAAACACACCCTAAGTCGACATGCTTTCATAGGGTTATTATATGCAGTTACGAAAATCGAATTTTGGGCCGTTTTTAAAATCACACTCGTTTTGCATAATCCAATTTTTTAAATTGAAAGCACAAGAAGTTTAACCTAAAATTTATCAAAAATTGCAGTTTGCTGGAAATGGAAAATCTTTTAATGAGTAAGTTTTCATTTTTATTGTTTATAGACAGATTATCCATTAATAATCCATATATTTATGTGACACGATTATTATTATTATTATTATTATTATTATTATTATTATTATTATTTAACAACAGCCGGTCAGATTCGTACATTACATATTTCCAAAAATAAAAAATAAAAAGTTAAATTACTATTGAAAACAAAAACAATATTTCAAAAATTAAATCAAAAAGCAAAAAATCAATACCACCAAAATACAAGAAAAGAAGTTGAAATTTTGCTTGAGATTTCTGGGAGGAAGAATGAGATTGACTTTAAATCATGTTTGGATAGTGTTTATAATGTTTTGGCATTGTTTATAGCCTATTTTTACTATTATATATAAAAATAAGTGAGATATAATGAATAATATTGGTGGTACATCGAGGCGTATAAATAAAATACTCCAGAGACGGGGCGGTGAAGCCCTCAAGATTAAGGTAAAAATAAATTCCCGGCCTATAAATAGTTTTTATAAACAGATAGGCCAACTGTTAAAAAAATCCCACAGTAAAAATGCTTAACCACAATATTGAGAAGGAAAATTGCACTTGTACAGCCCTAAGAAGGAAAATTCTGCTAGTACAAGACTGTACAAACTTACAACCCCCGTCACATTAGATGCCCATTATTTCGATTTATAATTTTTAGAATAATATTTTTTTGAAAAATGTATAATTAAAAAAGAAAGAAAAATTTTCGATTTTTATATAACATTATTTTATAGAAGATTGTGTGAATGAAAATAAGAGCGAATCATAATTTGAAATAACGGGGGCCAAATTGGGGCTATAAAGATGATTATGAAAATAGACTATTACGAGCTTGCAATAGAAGCAAAACATACATGCAGAGTTTTAAAACTGAATCAAAATCCGGCAAAGTTTTAAAAATATGATGCAGATAAACTTAAAAAGGAAGGAAATATCGGATAGAATAGGTTCAGTACAAGTCTCTCATACTGTTTATATTCGAAATGAAAACATATGCCATACTCAATTATAGTCTAGAATATCGAATGGGAATCGGAACATAATTGAAAACAAGACAGCTCCCGTCTACAGAACTTCCTTCCATTCATTCGAAAACACCAAATAGCCAACGAAGAAATGGCCGGGTCGCTCAAAAGAAGCCATCCAAGTATCCATTTCCATCATCTACTTGGATCTTTGTCTCATCTTTCGGCGCTTCCTCTTCAACCTCCTCATACGCTTCTTCTTCCACTGCAAAATGCATGAGAGTGTAACTTAACAACCGCATAAGATTCAACCTAAAAGACCTGTATTGTACATTGTGAACTCATACTCCCTTCTCAACGCAGAATTTAGCCCCCTTTTGCCTGCTATTATTTGGGATTATAATTTTTGAAATAGTATTTTTTTGCCGGTTAAAAAATAAGGAAAAATTTTAGATTTATGTGTGAAATCATTTTGTAGAAGATTGTATGATTGAAAGAAAAATTTTAATAACAATCACATTTCAACAACTTTTTCTGGGACTCTAGATTCAAGAACCAGCACTATCAATTTCCAGTTCAAGTGAAACCCTAAACCCTTTTTCCTTTTTTTTTAATTAGGTAAATCCACAGTTTAAAAAGTAACATCTGATGATTTGTACATCTAACATTTTAATGAAAACAATAATGGAAATATGGATTAAAAAAATGCATCATTAAACACTGACAGATTACACATATTTGGCACAAAGACAAATCTAATAAAGGTCATGGCGCAACTAGAACAATGCCACAGGCGATAGAGAAATATTAATTTAATAAGAAAATAGGCAATAAAGTACAACAATTCAGAATAAGAAAACAGATAAAAATAATTCATATAAGATAAAAGATGATCTCGCAACAATTAAATATCAATCAAAAATACGATTCAAAACGGAGATAGATTTAGAAAAATACATTTGAATTAATCTAAATCGATGAAGTTGTGCTAACCTTAGCCCTCATGCCGACCGAAAATCTTCAAAGAGTTACCCCGCCTATCAGCTCGTTTAGGAGCCGCCGAATCCTCTACAGATGAAATCGTTGGCGAGATCGAGTCTGAGAAAAGCTGCTGGTTTGATATTTATACGAGGGTTACAAAAGCCCTAATTAAGGGTATTTTAGTAATTTGATGATTTTTCCCTTTCTCTTTTCCTTCTTCCCTCGTTTCTTGTAACAATTAAGAGCATATTTGATAGAGATTTTAATTCAATTAAAATTAATTTTTTAACATTTATTTCACTATTTTTAATTTTTCTCTCGCAAATAAGATTCATTTTATCTCTAACGATCAAAAAATCAATTAACAAAATCTTTACTAAACAAATGCTAAATTGTCTAGCACAAACTAAGCAGAACCAAGACAAGTTTTTTTCCCACTTAATTCTTTGCTCAAGTTTTCTGTTTCAATACATATTGAAGCTTATGAGTCGCTTGATATACTTTTACTTTTAGTTCTTATAGCATGGTTTTTTAATTAAAAGATCTTTTAATCAAACAAATATTCTCTGAAAAATTACTCAAATAAATTTAAAAGCAATTTTTTAATCTCAAAACTTTTTTTTACTGTTTCAAAGTCCCACGAAATGGGCCTAATTATCACATTAGGTTATGGAAACAGTATATAACTCCTATATATAATAATTATATTTCAAAATTAACAAACTTATAAAATTATTTCAAAATTTAGATGTCAATTCTAATTACTAATATATATTATGCCCCCGTTTGGCCCCGTTATTTGTGTTTATAATGGGGAGAATAATTTTTTTTTTTTAAATAGATGATTGTAAAAGAATGAAAAAATTTCGATTTATGTGCAATATTATTTTTTGAAGATTGTATAATTAAAAATAGGAGAGGGGAAAATTTTAATTAAATTAAAGAGTTTTAAAGGGAGGCAACTGAGGGCTATATATAATTAATTGAAATTAATTATCCCAACCTGATTAATAGTATCCCCAACCCCATCCCCATCTTACCAAATTAATAATGTTCTAATGAGCCCCCAGGGCACATCTCCAAGTGGTAAAAGGGGGGGTGGAAAAATCCAACTTTACTTGAGGCTGCCGCGTCAAGAATTCGAATCCTGAAATATGGATTTGGCTCTTGGGTAAGTGTTAGTGTATAAGCAGCCTTCCACCCTATATCCTTGGAGGCATAACCTTTGATTTACTTCCCTTACGATACTCCAGGGTAGGGGCGGTGGAGGACCCGAAGTTGTGCTAACCTTAGCCCTCATGCCGACCGAAAATCTTCAAAGAGTTACCCCGCCTATCAGCTCGTTTAGGAGCCGCCGACTCCTCTACAGATGAAATCGTTGGCGAGATCGAGTCTGAGAAAAGCTGCTGGTTTGATATTTATACGAGGGTTACAAAAGCCCTAATTAAGGGTATTTTAGTAATTTGATGATTTTTCCCTTTCTTTTTTCCTTCTTCCCTCGTTTCTTGTAACAATTAAGAGCATATTTGATAGAGATTTTAATTCAATTAAAATTAATTTTTTAACATTTATTTCACCATTTTTAATTTTTCTCTCGCAAATAAGACTCATTTTATCTCTAACGATCAAAAAATCAATTAACAAAATATTTACTAAACAAATGCTAAATTGTCTAGCACAAACTAAGCAGAACCAAGACAAGTTTTTTTCCCACTTAATTCTTTGCTCAAGTTTTCTGTTTCAATACATATTGAAGCTTATGAGTCGCTTGATATACTTTTACTTTTCGTTCTTATTGCATGGTTTTTTAATTAAAAGATCTTTTAATCAAACAAATATTCTCTGAAAAATTACTCAAATAAATTTAAAAGCAATTTTTTAATCTCAAAACTTTTTTTTATTGTTTCAAAGTCCCACGAAATGGGCCTAATTATCACATTAGGTTATGAAAACAGTATATAACTCCTATATATAATAATTATATTTCAAAATTAACAAACTTATAAAATTATTTCAAAATTTAGATGTCAATTCTAATTACTAATATATATTATGCCCCCGTTTGGCCCCGTTATTTGTGTTTATAATGGGGAGAATAATTTTTTTTTTTTAAATAGATGATTGTAAAAGAATGAAAAAATTTCGATTTATGTGCAATATTATTTTTTGAAGATTGTATAATTAAAAATAGGAGAGGGGAAAATTTTAATTAAATTAAAGAGTTTTAAAGGGAGGCAACTGAGGGCTATATATAATTAATTGAAATTAATTATCCCAACCTGATTAATAGTATCCCCAACCCCATCCCCATCTTACCAAATTAATAATGTTCTAATGAGCCCCCAGGGCACATCTCCAAGTGGTAAAAGGGGGGTGGAAAAATCCAACTTTATTTGAGGCTGCCGCGTCAAGAATTCGAATCCTGAAATATGGATTTGGCTCTTGGGTAAGTGTTAGTGTATAAGCAGCCTTCCACCCTATATCCTTGGAGGCATAACCTTTGATTTACTTCCCTCACGATACTCCAGGGTAGGGGCGGTGAAGGACCTTTAAAGTTGGGGTTCAACTTTTTTTTTTAATAATGTTCTAATGAATAATATCCCCTACTCCACCCACTCGATTCGTACAAAATTTTCAAATTGAAAACCACTTTTTTGGAAATTACACGCCAGCCTTGGAACCATCCCCACCAACGCTAACCTATCCCACCCCCATGCCAACCCCTATAGAATTTTCATATATATAAAACCTTACCTGGTAATAACACCAAACCTTGTACAACCCTGTAGAATTTTTACAAAAATTTAAAAATTTTCTATAGTTTATGTTTCACCCACGAACTAACTGTGTTTTCTGTGACCAAATATATTGTTTATGATCATACATATGTTACATATGACTAAAGGTGACAAAATTTGTCTCAATGTGACCGTCTGTGTCTGTCTGATATATAAAATGTATGTAACTAATTCACTAACACGTGTTTCTGTTACTAATTGTGATCAAATTTATTTTGAGAATGATTGTTTGTGACCAAGTTATTCTTAATTGTGACAGTATGGGATCGACCAATCACAGTTGACACAAATTTAGTCACAATAAACACATATTTGGTCATATAGGTTCACCACATATAAATCTACACACACAACACACCAACACCACAAATCCACCGTCATCACCTTCAATGCACCACCACTACTACCTTTAACTCAAATTTAAGATCATAAATACTACATTCACTAACTTGTGTTATTTGTGACTAACTATGACTAAATTTGTTTTCAGTACGACTATCGCGATCAGCTCAGTCTAGTTTGTGACTGTATGTAATCAAGTTATAGTTATCATAGATCTAATCACAGATAATCACAATGAAGATAGATTTAGTCACACAAAATTTCCATCACCACCACCACTCCGGCACCAGCATTACTTTTAACTACGTCAAGAACCAAACATGCACCACCTCACCACGATCACATGCACCCACAACAATAAACCATCGTCTATTTCAAAATTTTAACTTTCTAAAATTATAAATGCTTTTCAAATGATAGAATATGTTTTTCAAAAATAGAAAGTCCTTTATTAATCGCCATCTACTTCAGAGATCCCTACTGAAAACTTTTTCAAATATAAAACTTCAGTATCTTTTCACGAATTAGTCCCTTGAACATGCTCCCTTCTAATTGTGTTGACTTTTCAAAGTTGACCATTAATTTAAGTATTAAATGTGTAGTGGTGAACTCGTCAAATTCAACTGAGAAAAACCTTTCAAAATGCAGGATTCTTCAAGGAAACCAGTAGTACAATCCATGTCTTCTATAAATTTAAATATTGACCCAAAAAAAAAACCAATCGCTTACAAGACCTAAATGTGAAAGTTTTTCCAAATATGAATATACAAAGGCTCCCAATTCCACCAAGGGAGCCAGCACTGGCCACGGCAAGATGTAGGGTTGAGAAGAATTTTAATTGTCGGAATGGTTATCAAGTATCTCCTAGGCCTCATCGTTTGTACACGAGTTTGACACAACATGATTCGAGGATGGTAAAAGTTTTTAGACCTAAGGCAAAGACAGTGCCACCTCATGATAGGTTAAGGAGACGACAAGCGAATAGAGAGATCATTACAAGGGCCTTGACACCGCCGTGTCGTAGACCAAGTTGGAGGTGGTGGAACTTCAGGCCAACACCAAGTCGCCCGTCTAAAATGTCTTTTGAATAACAAGTGCCATTGCAAAAATCAAGTATTGCCTAATAAAAATGTTCGAATGTTAGCATTACGATGATTAGCTCTACATCTTGTAAAACTTAAAATTTTATTTGTTCATATTTGTTTCTCCATTTCATTTTATCTCACCATTCTTTAGTGCCCTGTTGGCTACACTTCAAAAGAAGAAGAAAAAAAGTTCATATGAACTTAAATGGTTATTGACTATTGAACTTAAGAGCAAAGTCAATTACCGTAAAGAACAATGTGCCTAACAGTTTATAATGTGAAGGTAAAATTAATCTCTTTGACAAATAAAAACCACACATCTATGTATGTCGACTTCAAATGCTTCTTACAATGACCAGTTTCCTATATTGATTATTTCTGAACTGATTAGTTTCTTATATTTGTTATATTGTGGAAACTAATTTGTTGTTTGGTTCTTTCGGAAGACGAAATGGCAACCGGTTCCACCAACATAGATTCCAACATGGATGTGTCCCAAGTTGAAGGTACCCAATCTCAGGCTGTGGGTTCTACTATTGGTGCAGAGCCTAGTTCGACCATGGGTGCAGCTATGGCTACAGGGCCTAGCTCTGTTATGACATAGACTGTGGCTCCAATGCCAAGTCGTGTTGTGAGCCAACATGTGGCTAATGTTCCGGTTAATGTACCAGTTAACCATGGGGAAAAGTCGGAGAAATTCAACGGCTTGAATTTCAAGAGGTGGCAGCAGAAAATGCTGTTCTATCTGACCACCTTGAATCTTGCGAGATTCTTGACTGAAAGTGCTCCAAAACTCCAAGAGGGTGAGGTGGATGTTCAAGCTATCAATGCTGTTAATTCTTGAAAACACACGGACTTCTTATGCCGGAATTACATCATGAACAGTTTGGTAGATTCGCTATACAACGTGTATAGCACCATGAAAACTGCTAAGGAGTTGTAAGAGCCTTTCGATCGAAAATATAAGACTGAGGATGCCGGG